TTCCAGCGAGGTTTTTAACGAGGCAACAATTATGTGCTACCTGAGGAAAATTCAATAGTATCCAAGGCTTCTTTTCAATCAACTTCGAATATTGGGGGCATCACCCTAGGAGGTTACATTTTCGAGAAAAATACTTCACGTCAAAGGGTATTGATAGGGAAACTTTGTAATGGGCCAAACGGTCGAATGAACTGTGTCAATATAGATTAGTCGGGCCCCAATGGCAAAAACATGTACGCATGTATAAATTGTTTAAAGAAGCGTTCTTTCTATATCAAACACTTTGTGTCTTAAAGAAAAATTTGCTACTATACAGCTCCATACTTACGATTTTGTGAGAAATGGCTCAAGGGCCAAGCGCAAACATACTTCGAGCACTCGGGGACTGCACGCTAGAATTATCTAAATTCGAAGTCACAAGACCTCAAAGAGGCACCCCTTGACATATAGGCCAAGGCCATCATACTCGGGGACTGACATTTCAAACAAATTCAAAATGTTATGGGGAAATAAGTCTGAGAGGCATACCCGAAGGCTACGGATATATTGAAGGCTACGGCCGAAATAACGCGGCTCGGAGACGTCCGAATCTCGCAATAAACAATAGGCCTTCAAATACTTTGAAAAAACCGGTTAAAGGGCTACCCCAGGCAAAACGATTAAAAAAGGGCTACGATAAAATCAGCCCTCAAAAAACTAAAAGGCTTCGATAAAACCAGCCCTTGAAAAACCTTAAGAGGTATCAAATTATCTTAACACAAACGTGCTAAGGCACAAAAAGCAAAGGGGTCTCAATCGACATCGGACCCTCAAAAAACCTAATGGGTAAAAAATACATGCTAAGGCATTGAATACTAAGTCTTTTAAGCCGAAAAGGGGGGAAATAATAGCCATCATTTAAAGGCCATATCGACCCAACCTAAAAGAGCCTAAGGGCCAAAATATTTAGAGTTAGAGACCTTGTTATCACTCAATTCGAACCTAAGGGTTACGCTACTCCGAGCTCGAATAAAATTGACTTGAATATAGCTCGAGGGTTCATCATAAAACCTTGAGAGGTATTATATTATAAGTTCGAAACTTGCCCATTATTTGATAAAAAACCCAAGGGTTTGTCTTACTTTTAGTTATGAAAACAATGCGGTGATGGCTTCGATCAAGCCATCCGAAATAAAAATCTCTAACATATTACCGAGCTCGGGGACTGGCCCTCGTTTAGCTAAAAATCCTAAGGGTTTGTTTTACTCTGAGTTCGAGCTAATGCTCACTCGATTATTGAAGTTATAGCAACAAAAAATTTCGCAAGGCAAAAACAAAGCAGACTTTATCACGAATCAGAGATAGAGCGGAAAGAAAAGGAATTTTTTATAAATAGAAGGTATTTACAAAGGCAACAAGGGGCCTTACACAAAAAACAAAATGAAAATCCTTAGGGCCTAGTCCACTTTGAGAGCCACATCTTCGGGAGCCGCTTCTTCGGGGACTTCATCCTCATCTCCTCCGCTCTCGGATCCACTAGCAGAGTCTTCATCGTCGGAGAGTAAAGCTTCGGCCTCGTCCTCCAAAGCTTTCACACTCTCGATATCGGCTAAGAGGCCGAAGCTACGAGCATGCACTTCCTCGAGAGTCTCTCTCCGGGATTGTCGCCTAGCATGATCGACAGCACACGATAATTTTACTTCGGCAGCAACAGAGATCTTCTGTGACTGAATGTTGGCAGCCTCAGCGTGAGCTCGGTAAGAGGCCACAAGGGCCTCCGCCTCAGATTTAGCCTTTGCAACGCGGACAACTTAGCCTCGAGCTCCTCAATCTTTTGGGCCCGGGCCAAGCTTTTCTCCTTCACACTTTGAAGTTGGCACTCGACCGAAGTCAGTTGGGTCCGAAGCGCGTCTCTCTCCGAGCCAAGACGATCCATATGTTATTTCCGCCCCAGAGTCTCGGCCTCCTTCATTTTGGCCTCCTCTCGAAGATGCTCCACCAGCTCGCCCTTCTGCTGGGCCTGCAAAGTCAAAGTGTTAATTGCCAAGTCAAATGAATACATAACAAATTCCCAGAAAGTTACATTACCTGCTCGATGAGCTCAGTCTGTTCTTGATGAGCCCTCGCAGTTCGGCTCGAAGGTCTCTGATCTTCTCCTCTTTTTGAACGTAGAGGAGTTTAAGGCCGTCTCTCTCCTCCACTAGCTTCTTGAGTTCGGCCTCGCATCGGGTCAGCTCGTCCCAGGATTTGGAAACCGCTTCTCGATGGAGCGTCATGGCCTTTACACAAAGGAAAAAATCAGACTTGGAAAAATGCGAATAAAACACAAGCATAATTATGGAGATAGAAACTTACTTGTTTAAGAAGCCGCTGAGCCTCGTCAAAAATGAACGAAGCATACGGGTCGGTAACATCTTCGACCCCTGCGAAGCATCCCTGGAATATATCATTCCCTTTATGGGCCGTCCCCACGTCGGGATTCTCCATAGCCCGAGCATCTCGAAACTGCCCTTCGGAGAACGTAAGGCCAGGCGGCGATTCATCTACATTAATTATCCTAAGCGAGTCACTTGGGACATTCTCTTCTCTTTGAGGGGCCTCGAAATTAGACCCTTCAGGCACACCCGCTAGTCGTTCTTCACGGCGGGGTACGCTTTTACCGCCCGATGGCTCGGGGACTCTGCTCGGACTTCCCTCCGAGATTTCTTCGGTTCAAGATTGAACCGCCTCAACCACCACCGGCTCGACAGCCTTTGAAGCTTCAGTGCTTCCCCTCTTCCGAGCTACCAGCAAGCAGTCGGCATCCTCTCCTTCTTCGTCCTCCTCCCGAAGTTGTTGAACCGCGTCAGCAGACAGGGCTGCACGGTCGACCTTCGGTTTTTGAACCCTACTTTTCCTGGGCTTCGGGGTATTTGAAGGCCAGGCCCTTTTTCTCTTCTTCTCTTTGGTTGGCCTCGGGATCTTCTCTTCACCGGGCGGAGGCGGCCTCATAAAAACATTGTCTCCGAGGCATGCATGAGGAGAAACTAAGTTAAAAACAGTATTTTACAGAGAAGCATCAGCATGTGAACAAAGGAACTCACTGTGGTATTTAGCTTCCACCGACCCTTGGCCAAATCACGCCAACAACGCTCAGTATGTTAAGAAGTAGAGGCCAGTTGTCGAACCCAACCTTCGAGATCTGGAATCGCACCAGGAAACCAAGGGGAAGCTGCACCATGAAAAAGAAATTAGATCGAAGAAGAACAAAGAAAGCAAAACAGTGAACATCATCGATAGAGTTGTACTTACGTTTCATGTTCTATTCCTCGGGGAATGGCATTTCCTCGGCGGGGATTAGGTCAGAGGTTTTTATTCGGACGAACCGGCCCATCCATCCTCGGTCTTTGTCCTCATCAATGCTCGAGAACAGCGCCTTCGTGGACCGATGCTGGAGCTTTATCAACCCACCTCGATAAAGGCGAGGGCTTTATAACCTGATCAGATGGTCGAGGGTGAAAGACATCCCCTCGACCTTGCTCGAAAAAAATCTGAGCAAAATAACGATATGCCAGAAGGAGGGGTAGATCTAGCCAAGGGTCATCGGATATTGGCGACAGAAATCGAGTATGACCGGATCTACGGGACCCAATGTGAAAGGATAAGTATACATAGTACCCTTTCACATGGGTAGTGATGTCCTCGTCAGGGGAAGGAATCACCACCTCCTTATTTTCCCAATTAATACCCGCTCGAGATCGTCTTCAGATATCAAGCAGATGTATCGGGACATGGGCTCACATCGGCCTGGAACTGAGGAAGGTCTTTAAATGGGAAGACAGCTCGCATGGCCCAGGAGCGTACTCCTCGATACGAGGCTCCACCGGCGTTTTATCATCGGCCGAGCGCGATGAGGAGGCTTTTTCTTTCTGAGGGGCAGTTTTAGATTTTTTAGCCATCACTGTTGTGGAATTCAAGAAAGGAGAAGAAGTTGATGTTATGACAAACACAAACTAAAGAGGAAGATGAACTTAAAGAAAGTTGAGAAGCTTGTAGAGATTTGGGGAAAGGTTTTGGAAGTAAAGATTGTAAAGATTGAGGAATTGATCTATTTATAGTGGCTACTTCGAAGAAACTAGTGGCCGACCATCAGCCGCCGTTAATTAATGGCCTTGGGAACTATGCAGACGCGACCCTTCAATCACTTCTGTCGCTGATGTCATGGAACTGACGTCAAGATCGAGGTATCGGAGAATCAAGGATCAAATCGTTTCTTATCACTTCACTCTAAGAAACGCGGGGACTATCTGTATACGGTCGAAATCGGGCATGTCCGATTTCGTAGGCTCGAGGAGTTGCTTCGAGAATAAGCTCAAAACGGACCTGGCTCGAGCCGGTGGCAGAGTATAGGACTTGAAGATCGAAGTGCTCGTTGAAAACCAAGGCCGAGTATGACCAACCTCGAGTAAGGCATAATAACGGAATGGCGAGATATTAGCAACCAACCGAAGGTCTCTGCGGAAATCTTGGAATAGATCATGCCGAGCGATTATCGGCCAATCACGGGATTTATTTCCGTTATTAGAGTTGTACCTTATTTAGGATTCCTCTACTATATAAAGAGGGACCCCATTCATTTGTAAGGAAAAGACCTTCACTGATCAATAATACACACGTTGCTCTCTGTTTACTCATTATTCTCTATTGTCCTTTATTGTTCTTGCTGCTTGATCTCGAGACTGTTCCGAATCGAGGTCGATACATTGCCACAGCACTGGTTTGATTTGTTTTATCGTCTAATTCACTTACTTAATTCGTTATTTACCAATTGGTATTGAATTAGATCACGTATCTTTAAAACCACAATACAAGTTTAATTGTTACTCAAATTTTAGGGTAAACAAATTTGTTTTTAAGTGAGTTAATAATGTAAAAATATTCATTGTTCTGCTAGAAGAAAATATTTAGAAAAAAAGTCCAGGAAACAAGAACCCGCCTACCATTCAACGGCTAACTGTCATTCCTCTCCCACTCTGAAACAAATTCAAGAAACCAAACTCTCACTCAATTCCTCAATCCTTCAAAACTTAATTTTTTTTTTTTCTTTTGAAGTGAAAAGCAGAAACTTCTTTTCCAATTCATCCTTACAAATTCGAGGAAATGGTGCCTAAAATTAGCAAGCTCAAGGTTTCAGAAAAAGCGAGGAAATTAGTATTTCCTGAAATGCTTGGTAGCTTAGTGGTTGGTGGAGAAGAAAGAAATTACAATATGGGGTCTGATACAAGATATGAATCTGCAGGTGAAGAATTACGCACTTTTGAGCCTCATGGGTTTGCTCTGAAACACATGATTAAGGATCAAACTTATGATTTTGACGAGGAGCTTAGTGTTCCCCAAAAGATAAATAAGAATTTGGGAGCAATTGTGCACGCCTGCGTTAATGATGATGATGAAAAAAGATCTGATCTTGAACATGAGGTGAGACGGGTAATCATATTTTTCATTACTACAATTTATGCACTAATCTGGTAAAAATGGATAATTAACATGCTATCATAAGTTAAAATTCATTGTCAGTCAAGGTATACAACTTAAATCTTTTTCATTGATTTCGCTCTTGATTAAAGGTGATCTGAAGCTTATTTATCATACTGCAAATCTCACTTTTTATCTCAATTAGTTCCTATAAATTGAATTGGAAATTCCCACCCACAAGATTCTCTTTTCAAGACTCAAGTTAAAAAAAAACATAAATTTGCCAGAAACTGAAAAAAATGAGCACGAAGAAGTTAGATTCATATTTAAATGATAGCGGACCAGCAATGTAGCTGTGCTGTCTAGACCAGTTTAAGAAATATAAGATTGAAAGTATCTGGCATTTGTTATTATTCTTCCTCATCCATATGTGTATTAGCAGCTTAATTAGTGGTTTTGCCAATTCTGTGGTTTCTAATTTTTCTTGTCTTGGCCGTATCAGTATATTATATACTCCCTCCGTTTCATATTAAATGAGGTAGTTTGACTCGGCACGGAGTTTAAGAAAAAAGAAGAAGACTTTGGAAACTTGTGGTCTTAAAAGCTTAAGGGATAAAAAGTTTGTGGGGCCATGACATTTGTGTGACTATAAAAGCTTCTCATTAAGGGTAAATGAGTAAAATGAAAGAGTTTAAAGTTGAATTATTTCCAAATTTAGAAATATGTCATTTGTTTTGGACAGACTAAAAAGGAAAGTACCTCATCTAATATGAAACGGGGGGAGTATGTCGTTTCTTTAATTATTGGTGGTGTCCTGTTGTACAGCTTTCTCGGAAGGAGATTAATTTGGAGAAGTTGCAAAGAGTTGCCAGTTCAGGTATTCCAGACGGAGGGAGTTTGCGAGCAACAATTTGGAAGGTTATTATTAACTGTGCTAATATTAATAACCTGATCCATTGGTATACGCATCTTTCATGAATATGATTATGAGTGCAAACACATTTATTTTACTGCTAGGTGTCCAGTCTAACGTGTTGAAATGTTTTCTTTCAAAAGCATCATCTATTTTTCTTGATCATTGAGTTCATTATAAGTAAGCAATGGTATATCAACAAACTAAATCTGAAAGTTACTGTGGAAGAGGAAGCAGAAGAATGACATTTGATTAAACTAGAACAAACATAGCCTGTATTATGGCTGAAGAACTAATATGACCTGATAGAACTGAATGGTGAACGAGATATGAGATTAGGCTGACGAAATGTATCTCTAATGAACGTAGAAGAATATGGCGTTAAATCCAATTGGTCAAAAAAATTCCATATGAAAGAATCTTTATTCATTCTGAGATTCCATACTTACTGCTTTGCTTGTAATTGAATCATGAACAAACTCTTCATAGTAACGGCTTTGCTTGTCGAAACTTTAGTGATGCTCATGGAAAGGAAGTATGTTCAAAACTGCAATCAGCTATCATGCAGCTACCATACATTTATCTTGCTTGGTGAAAACAACACTTCTTTCGTTCAGGGGAAATTCACAAGGGCACATTCAAATCATAGAATAACTCAAACAGGCAACTTATACATTCGAACACATTAAAAATGGCAAATGGACAACAGTGGGAGAGTAATATGATCTGAATGTGTTATTGACTATTAATTATTAGTCCTGTTGCTAGATAAGTGAGCACAAGAGTTTGAAAAGAAAGCAGAGAGAGTGACTGAATTTCACTCTTTATCATTCCTTACTACTCCTCAATTCCCAAGCCATGTCTATGCTTCAGTTTAACTTTTAACAACTGTTTTGCCATGATAAACGAATTGCAGCTATTGTTGGGGTATGTGCCAACTTCTCGTGACTTGTGGGAAAAGGAGTTGACTGAGAGTCGACTAAAATATGTTAAGCTCAAAGCGGAGCTTTTACTAAACCCTGTAAGCTGCCAACTATCTTGTAACTTTGGTCATAGCAGTTTAAATTTATCATGCTGTTCATTTTGACTTCATATCAAATGGATTAACACTCTTTAATCTAGACAGTCAGAGTTGTCAAGGAGAGAAGATAAAAGCTTGAGATTCCTTGGACACGATACTAAAGTTAGTGAGCCCCTTGAACGCTACAACATCTCAAAAGAGGATCATCCGCTAAGCTTAGGTAAAACTAGTATATGGCATCAGTACTTTGAGGCAAGTACCTACTGCAGTGTGACTTCTATTGGAACCTTTTACCTCACAGAAATATTTTTTTATGACAATAAACAATGGTGTTTCTAGTTTACAGAAATTTCAGATCAAATAGACCGTGATTTGCAGCGAACTCATCCAGATTTAGAATTCTTCTCAGGAGACTCACCACTGTCTAGGAGGAATAGGGTAACATTTTATTTGTATCCCTCGACTCCTGATATTTATATGTAGTTCTTCAACCATCAACTTCCCTTGCAAATCATGGTGAGTCTGTGATGCCTTTGTCTTTCTGGTTTTATGTATGCTTTGCAGGAGTCAATGAGAAATATTCTTCTTTTGTTTGCAAAGTTAAATCCGGCAATTAGTTATGTGCAAGGCATGAATGAAGTCTTGGCCCCATTATACTATGTCTTCCGCACTGATAGTGATGAGCACAATACTGTAAGTGTTCATTATTTAAATTCTTGCCTTCCCCAACTCCTTCCATAAATAGTAAAAGCAACATTTGCTTTTCCGCTATGCAGGCAAATTTAGAAGCAGATACTTTTTCCTGTTTTGTTATACTAATGAGTGGCTGTGTGGATCACTTCTGTCAACAACTAGATAGCAGTTCTATGGGTATCCACTCCACTCTTTCAAACTTGTCAAAGTTATTAAAAACCAATGATGAGGAATTGTGGCACCATCTTGAATATAAATCAAAGGTAAACATATTCCTTAAGCATTGACAAATTATTTGCATTTAATCTTCTGGTCCAAGTATTGCTCAAATTATTTGAGAGTTGTTTTTATATGCAAGCAGGTTGACCCACAATTCTATGCGTTTAGGTGGATCACTCTGCTTCTAACTCAGGAGTTTAAGCTGCATCACATCCTAAGGATCTGGGATACACTTTTAAGCAATCCTTTTGGTCTTCAGGTTCTTCTCCCTTCATTACCAATCAATTCTATGTAGGAATGGCAATGGGGCGGTGCGGGTGCGGCGCGGGACGGGTTTGATCTTATGCGGGGCAGGGCGGGTTTGATCTTATGCGGGGCGGGGCGGGGCGGGTTGAAACTGATTTTTCAAAATCTAATGCGGGGCGGGGCGGTTGCGGGTTTCATTCCGGAAATCACTATGGACTGTACAATTAAGGCAGAAATATAGTGAGAAAAATTTTCTGTGACATTGGTACTTTTTTGCACTAAATTTAGAAGTGATTGAATCAACTTTATTTTCCTTATGTTTTTTATTTTGGGTATCATATGGTGGCTTACAAGAGGGGAGATCCGTATTATGTCCTTACAAAGGTTCTTTTAATTATATACATATGGTCTTTTTCTTGTATTTAAATATTAACTGGATAGGAGATAATTCCTACTGGAAACGGAGAAAGAAAAATACTATAAAATCAAGCAGTAAGTATATGTTCACACTTCACATATATGAGCTTACATATTATATATTATTAACTAGTTATAAAAAAATTATGGAGCATATTTGTTATATGGAAATTTAACAAATACAAATTAATACGTAAATTTAGGTATACAATATGTTGATGTTACGCTTTAACGCGTTTATTTTCTAGCTTTTACGCATTTCAATTAAGTTATATTTTCTATTATAATTTCTGAAAATAAAAATATAATAGTTGGATATGAGGGATTTAAGAAACTTAAAGAATTAATATATTAAACTTGTGCCTTTTCAGCAAAAATAACAAATGGAAAAAAAAAAAAATGCGGGGCGGGGCGGGTCTTTGCGGGGGCAATGCGGGGTGGGTTGAAAATAGAAAAGCTGCTATGCGGAGTAGGGCGGGGTGGGTTGAAATTTTGCGGGTTAAGTTCAAACCCGCCCCGCCCCATTGCCATTCCTGATTCTATGTGTTGTATGTATAGACTTAGAGGGTTGGCCTAATAATATTACGGAGTAAGAACTAGATAAGAACCTATCGTCCAATTCCAAGTCCATTTTACTTGTGGCTGAATACACTTCTTGTGCTGTGTCGTTTGCAGGACATGCTTCTGAGGATCTGCTGCGCTATGCTAATGTGTGTGAAAAGCAAATTACTGAGTGGTGATTTCGTTGACAACTTAAAGCTTTTACAACATTTCCCTGAACTCGATGTTGAGCACCTTCTCCAGATAGCACAGGGCATGACTATGGACACGTCATTCCTTTCAGCTGTGTAACTCGTCCAACTAAACCAGGCCATTGCTACAACAATTGCTTAAACACCAAACTAAATTGGAACTCATACACGTGCCTTTCTTTTAGCTTGTTTTTAAGAAATCAAAAATGAAGTTAATGTCTTTGATCCTTATGTTTTATTTCATTCCTGGCTTTTTAAGCTTTGCTCCAGATAAGACGGTTTATACTTGCTTCAAAAAAGGCCATTACTACAACAATTACTCTTCCTCTTAAAAGCAGTGTTGTTATCCGAGCAGAATATTTCTCGCTACATTCAAATGATAATGTTGGTTTGCTTAAAATGGAACCATGGCCAGATCAGGCAGAAATACCCAGGGAATTCATTTACTTGGTAGGAATCCTTTTTCATCATACAGACCAAGTATCCAATTATATTGTAGTTAATGGATACGCTTAAATCTCATATGTCCAATATGTATCTGTTATGCATAAAAAATTTGCAAAATTTTATGGATAGTCAACAAAAACGACTCCTTAATCTTCCTGTTACAAAAGTATCTTAGACAATGGATGTTTACCTTTGGTTCGTTTAGTAGTAGATGAAGAAGTTATACTACAAGAATCAGCAGCAGCCTCAGTGACATCTCTGCTAAACCAATAGTCATATAATAAAATTCTTTATTTCATAGGAACTCAGTACAGAGAAGCATAAACACAGAGAGGGAAGAAAAGGGGAAATTGGAATGTATCACAGAGAGAAGCAACAAAGAAAGTAAACATGAAAAATTCATGAGAAAAAGCATCCAAGAATGCAACATTCAATTGCCCCCATCATCTCCAATCCTATAGTATCTAGGTATGATTCCCCAACGAGCTTTTGAGAAAAATCCTTTAAGTACACAAATTTTTGATATAATATTTATATTATTTAAAATTTTAGACTTAGAAACACGTGTTGCGCGTGCTGAGAGACTAATTAATATTAAATGCCTAAATCTAGTTAATTAATCTATCATGAACCAAAACTGAACGGTCCTGGATGGGCATCTGACAAGTGTGACATCCACCGAGCGAACCTTTGACACAATCGTAATATAATGAACCTACGATTAAGAACATACAATGGAATATCATGCGATTTTGTGCAATCACATAAAAAAGGGGCAACAGGCGACTCTGTACAATAGTTCAACAGTTATCATAAATCAAGTCATGAAAACGTCTTAGGTCATCCTTAAAACTAAATCGATCCAGACATAAGGCAAGGTAAGATGTACAACCCAAAAAATATAATGTCTAACCCACATAACTATTTCCTTCTCTATACCAATATAACACAAAAAGATTAAATATTTTAAACTCCATATCAACTTATCAAGTATAAAAAGAATGTTCACCTATAATGAAACAAAATGTACGTGCTATTTTTCTTCTTTACAGTATCAAACAGTGGAACTCCAAATTACAACAGCAAAAGTAACTTATAAGAACATTTCATGTGATACAGATAAACTAACCAACTAGAGTATCAAATACTACCTAGGACTCATCATCCGTCGTCTCTACCTTCATGAAATCAAGATACGATTTTCCATCAAGTTTTCGTGAAAAAAAATCCTGTAAATATTTTCCACGGGAACTCTTCGGAAAATTGCTGGATTATTTGGTCCAACAAGACTCTGTGCAGGTCCCAATTCGGAGTCAAAGCTGGAGGTATAGCATGTTGCAACAGATAGCCTCGCTTCGTTTGAATTTACAATTGCTCTGTGCTCAATGCTCCTATAAACACCATTGCTCACTATTTGCCAAGTCAATTAACACATTTACACCATTGAAATTTTTATTAGTATCCTATTAGAAAATGAGCTATTTCTTTACAAAAATAGGATTATATAAGTTCTCACTTGCAAGTGAATGGATTAGCAATAGTTTTTTTTATTTAATCCACATGTCTTGAGCTAATTATAAGTCATATAATCTCCAATTTATTCTAATCAAGCAAGTTTTAACCTAATTAGCCATATAATTTAGCAAACTAAATCACATGAAAACGTTAAGACTGCCCACTCAGTGGTGTATGGAGTGTGTATACTATGAGTTCAATTGAACCCAGTATCTTTTACATGGAACATAAATATACAATGAAAAATCACTAAAATTCCTAACAAATCTTAAATTCTGGACTCAAAATTTCAAAAGGAAATAATAAGTTCAATGTTAAAAAGCTTAAGATTGAATCAATCAAGTTTAAATCCTGGGTCCACCTCCGGCCCTACTTCCACCTTCCTCAAAGGATCTTCTTTTTAACAGAGGAAGGGTGAATACTTTGGATTATCTGTAATTTTATTAACTCGGAAAGTCTAAATCAAATCCTTTCAAGAAATTCGGAAATGTTAATAATTGAAACAAGATGAAACGGTCAATAAAACAAAGACTCAACCTATAACTTGCGCAACAGAACTGCAATTTTCACTACGTTACCACCCTTTGAGAAATCAGTTACTCAACAAGGAAGTTATTACTTACCTCCATCATATCGCCAATATTCACAGTCAAAGCATTTGGGAGTGGTTATACAGGCACCCAAATACCGTCTTTTCGCACTTGGAGACCTTCAGTTTCATTTAGCTGAATAAGGATGGTGAGGCCATCAGCATCAGAGTGAGGGCTGAGGCCAATGGTCTTGTCTGGCTCAGGGCAAGGAGGATAATAATTCATCCTTATTGACTGCATACCATCACTGAATAGATCTCTCATTTCCTTTTCATCCATCCTTAAAGCCTTTGCCAATTGACATAGGATGCTTATTGCTAGGCTCTTCACTTCTTTGCAGTATCCTTCCATGCTGTGCCTGCATTTCAAAAGTAACCAATCATATCATACAAACATTAAGAGATGAGGAGACTAAAGATCAAGGCTCAAGTTAGAAAACAAGTTCCAACAGAAAAATTAGTTACAAGTCTGGTTAATCTCAAGTCCGCATTATTATGCCACAAGAATATTATGGCTCAAGGTACATATTGTGAAATAGAACAGGAATAAGCTCCATAGCAGAAGGAGGAGCCGGGGCTCTAACCGCGTGCCTATTGAAGAATGAGTTGGCGACTCATAGGTAGTGGCTTGGTTAAGGAAACCTACTGGAGCCGTAGCGAAAACAAGTTTTCATAGGGCAATTGTCACTGCTTATGGACTCAAACCTAGGTGATCTACCCATGACCAAAATGTAGCTTGGGTGAAACTAAGTGGGTCCTTCTCATTTTCTGGTTATAAATTATTGATGCTAAGATCTTACCGATTTTCTTGTAGGTCGCCGAGGAAAAGTGAAGAATTAATTAATCTGTTATCATGGAAGACAAGATATTCTTTATTTTAGGTGAAAAATCTCTTGAGCTCATTGATTCCGGCAAGGGGTGGTTTGTTCTCATTGAAAGGGGTAAAAGATTCTCATGCAAAATAAACATAGATGAGGAAAATCTCCAGGGAGTTTGCGACGCACTGAGGCAAGCATATAAGAGGGAAGGGAATTATTATAGACGTTGGGGGTGGAAATCACAAGCTTACTATTACAGAACTTTTGTCAACTTCAACTGCTATGGTCGATTTATTCGTATTGGAACACGGTTGGGGGACAGGAAGAAAGCAGCAGTTATTCAGAAAATTGATTACAACTTGGGTTGGGGAGATATAACTGATAAAATTTTACACTTTTTGGGAAAACAAGCTTCAACCAGATCCAGGCATGCTTATACACATAGTACAAAGTCTTATGTTGACACTGCAAAGATTTTCCAATGCCCGGAGATGTCAAAAATTCCAGCAAGGGGGGTGACGAGGTGTCTTCAGTTAAGCAAGGTGCAGCCACGAAAGCTTTCATTTCCTCCCAAGATGTTTGGTTGGCACTTTTAACGACCCTTTCAACTACAGCCCTAACCATGAGGTGATCCAAAAATGGTTTTTGAATAGGTGGAAAGTTAGTGTTGGTCTGAAAGTCACCCCTATGTCCCACAACCAATTTCTTTTTGAATTTCCATAGAGGCAGGAAGCGTAAGAGTTCATGCTGGAGACTGGTTCTGGAATGGTCATCATCTTTCATTGAAGTGGTGGTCTCTGGTGACTGGCACTGATTTTGCCTCCCAGAGATCTGAACAGAAATGGATCAAGGCTTTTGGGATCCCTATTAATGCATGGAAGCTTGAGACATTCAGAACCATTGGTGACATTTGCGGCGGCTTCATTGACATTGATTTGGATACGAAGTACCGGAACCATTTTATTTGGGCAAGAATCTGTGTTAGCAACTGCAACAAAAAAACCCACAGAAGATAACACTTGACCTAGAGAACTGGAGTTACGAAATCTCAATTCTGAAGGACGTTGCGCCACCAAAGCCAGTTAGAGTAACAGGAGCTGCAGCAGGGATTGAGTCATCACCGGCGATGAGTTTAGGGAAAGCTGATGAGGGTTACGTGAATTCGGCGATGAGTTTGGGGAAAGCTAACGAGGGTTACGTGAATTCGGGGCACGTGGAGGGACAGCTGTCCAAGGGTAACTTTAATTCAAATCTCTTGGGCCCATTTCCCAGCCTTCTCAACTCACGGGCCACAAGTAAGAACATGCCCAATATTGCTAGCAATACAGGAGTTATTAAAGAACCTGTGGTGGGCCAAAATTTTAATTACTACAAAGGCCCAAAAAGAAAGCCCATCAGAAGGCCAAGCCAATCAAACCCAATTTTATTCAGGAGTGGCGTGCTAAAGGTTTATTAATGGACCCTCGTCCTAAAGTCATCGTTGCTGCACCTTCTTCTTCTATTTCTCTCAGCAGCTTCAAGCCACGAAGTCCATTGATGAATCCCTGCCGCATGCAATTGTTGAAACATATCTGGAAGCAGCTGATGAAGCTGATGATGAAGCAGAATCTCTTTTGGCCAACCTCAGGGGTCTTCCTCAACAACTGGATTGGTCAGAAGTTGCTTCTACCGCCTTAATGTGCTCAGAGTCTGATTCCTACACTGAGGCACTTTCTTTACCATGGCATGAAGGAGAGCAATTGGAAGTTCATGGATTCCAGCAGGGTATTCAGCAACCAACAACAATAGAAACCTCCAAGTGGACCAAATTGGTTATGGGAAAAGTTTGCATGGCATTTGGAGTCAATACAGTGGGATTTGAGCATGAAATTTTCGATTTAATTACGAGA